AGTTCTGATTCCTTTTGCCTCTAGACCAATACAGCTACACTCTGGATCCCCGAAAATCCAAGTGATTCAAAGTTCAAGTACAGGCCCAACTAGCGAGACCCAAGTGTATATGACAGCCCACGGTCTGCTGGTGCTAAATAAAACGATGGAGCTCTCTCAGACTTTCCACTCTCAACACATATGTATGTCTGGGTAGATGTGAATTTTGTTGACAACTGTTTCCACACCTATAGGGAGAAGCCAGCTAGAGCTGGGAATACAGAGTGGATACATTTGCAGCACAAACCAACTGCCAAAAAAGTAATGCTCTGTAACAAGTCTTCCTAACCTACCACTTCCCACCCACTTTCAGCATTTATTTGGTTATTCGTTTTGATGTACAAAAGTGTCCGGAGGGCACCCATCCTGTGTTTGGATACCAGTTCCATATTGCAACTCCAGCAGCAAATATAACGGCAAAAATAAAAGAAAAGAAAATGAGCTTGCCAGTCCTCAATCCATCCATTCCCCATAAGCCTGGGAGAAAAACATGATGAGAAAGTTAACAGTGTCTTGTGGATCAAATAAGAAATAGAGAACTCCTCCAGGAATATACCCTGCCAGCAGGTCTGTGTGGGAAACCACAGCCAACCCTCTAAGAAAGTAATGGCATTAACACTGCTAAGATGATGACAGATGCAGTGACCCCTGCCTGGTGCAATGCATAATGGCATGTTCATGGGATGAGAGAAGCAGCCGCCAGGCTACCAGAAAAATTATTCAGATTGAAACAGCAGGGGGTATAGATGGCTTAACTAAGTAGCTGAGTTACTTCAGAAAGAGAAAACAAAGCAAGCATTAGAAAGCAGATAACTTGATGAAATGTGTTACTGGTGTGCTGTCAAGCAGTAGGCGATGAACCAAGATGGCTGGTCTTTTTATTTCATTGGCCCCTTGTGCTAAACATGCTCATTTTATGTCTCTAATGGCTTCCCAGTATCCCTTTTTCTGCTTTTTTTTTTCCCCTGTAGAGAAAGAAATATTAACTCAATGAGCTGTGGTCCATATAACTATTGCCTGCCATGAACAAAGAGGAGTCCACTAACAGTATTTCAGTAAAGATTCTCACAGCTAACTGACACGTTGGATCATCCTACCGAAAATAATTTCTCACTGGGGATCCAGGAGGAAGTCTTTAATTACTATCCCACAGGATCAGTGAAGAGATGCATTTAAAACTGATTAAAAATAGAAAAAAAATCAGAGCGCCTTATTTATTTGTATGGTAAGGAGTGCTGGTTTGGGGCTGGCCAGGAAATACAGTTTCTGCTACTATAATTCATTTAGTTTAATTAACATCTACAGTTAAAGCAAAGCAATTTAAAAATTAGTTTAATGGATGTAATGTAATTACCTGTACATCCTGTTGGAAGCATATTGTCAATGAGAGGAACAGCAGATATTCTTTAACAACCATATCATGCCCTCAATTATGCACACAACTAAGAGTGTTAATGTACTTCAACTGGTTAGAGATTCAAGAGTTAGTGGAAACACCTAACTGAACCTTAACAATAGCTGTGTGGTTGAGGTTGCAATACTTAAGAGCAAAATGAGAAGCATTTTAATTTAGGAAGAACCAAGGAGGAGTGCAGTATTAGCAGTCCCTCTCTACACCCAAATATTTTCACTTGATCATTATAAAGGATACAGTTCAAGGGGCAACTGATTTGGTCACAAGGAACATGATTATGCCACATACTGATAAGCAGGAAAAATATGTTTTAAAAAAAATCTCTGTCATTGTCCAGGAATCAGCAAATTAATTATTCCTGATTATTGAGGGGGGAAAATTAAGATATATTTTAATCATTGGAATGATTTTATACATAGATTTATTTCAAACCTGGGATACATTTCTGTTGGCTTTTATAGTTTCTATAAAAACACTGGATCTTTCTCACAGCTGCAACTTTTTCACAAATAGCTGCTTCATCTACTTCACCTAGAAATACAAACATGAAAGCAATGTTTACATTTAATTTGGGGAAATAGTTTACATATTAGGACTGCCAAAAGTAAGGAATATTAATATGGGAATTTTATGAGACCAGTAATTGGTGAACTCCTGAAATATTATGACAAACAATAGGTACCTAAGTCATATCAGCATTAGAGAAAGACACAACCCATCAAGGATGAAACATAGAAGGAAAAAGAAAACCAAACCACTGCTTCAGCCACAAAGGAAGATAAAAGCCATAATGCAGGCAGTTCATTTTTTTGCTCATTCACCAGCTTCTGGAATTTTCCTCCTGTTTATTTAATAAATTGAAAATTGCTTGCCAGCATCTAGCGGACTATTTATAAAAATGTGTAGCTTGCAATATTAAGGTCATAATTATTTACATCAGGGATGCTGATTCAGGAAGCTGAGGTTACAGAAAAGGTTACTTTTACTACTAAAATAAATTCTACATCATTTTAGTCTCCCTTTGTTAATAATTATCCTGGGTGCAGCATTTTGAGGGTCTGGGGCTTGACAGATTGAACAGTTCAACACACCAGACCAGCTTGGCTCTTGTCACTGCTCATGAGCTCAGTTTGGAGTGAGACCCTAAAAATCCCCACATCACTTGGGAGATGAGAGTGGCATCGGCGTTTCTCTCGGTGAACAATGGCCTAGCGTACAGCAAGAAGGATGTGCCATTTCCAGAAGAGACATTGTGCCAAAGTCCTAACCACTTATAGTCATTGATAGTGGCACTTCTCAGAGAAACTGAAGTGCTAACTTGGTGTCTTCACCAAATTCCAGCCAAAGGAGCACAGTCCCAAATGGTATAAATGATCATGGCTCCACTGCAGTAAATGAGGCTATAACCATTTACTTCAGATGAAGATCTTTCTGAAGCATCTACTGTCATTTTGTCAAGGAGCCACATCTCTATTTCTGAATTTGAACTGTTCTGCAGTCTTTGCTATGAGCTGTTAAAACAAGTGCTGCACTGCACTCCAGAGCTGACTACATTTCAAGTGGTAGGTTTTAAGAGATTTACATCAGAGGTGTTGCTAGGTATAATTAATATGGGAGATCCTCAGATGAAAGGCACCCTGGCAGTATAAAGTATTTTATAATGTTGTAGCATTGTTAATAACATGCCCTTTTCTCCTCTCTCTCACCCATACATGCAACTTCAGAGCTGGAGTAATTTCTCCTAATTTAATGTATCCTGCGAAGAGGGATGAAAGGTCTCAGAAAACAGGACTAATGCAGGTAAACAGGGAAGAATCTGACATGTGCCTTTAACTCTTGGTTTGCTCTACAAATTGTTACCAATGGGTTTCTTCAAGACAGTATGGTAAGTGTGCTGCCAAAACAGGAGCTGTGGCTTTCTAACAGGTTGTTTAGCAGCTCAGCAGGCTGCGGATACTTTGTGCTGGATGTACATGTCACATCAATGACGGGATGTAACGTGTACTCTGGTATCAATGCAGGCTAGATGGACATTACAGGGCATGTGCAAAATGTAAAACATGGATTAGGTCAACTAATCAGAGCCACATTAATAAATGACAACTAACCTTGTTTACCCTCCTTTGAGTCACTGTCGGAGTATCCATCACTTTCATCTTTCTCACTGTCAGAGGCCTTCTCTGATGAGCTTTTACTCTCCTTTTCATGGACTAAATTATCTTTTTCATCATCTGAGGGTGACTTTGACATTCCATTCATTTGATCATCATCCTGTCCTTTTTCATTAACTTCTTCATCTGATTTCTCTTCATCTGCTTCAAAATCTTCATCATACTCTGAAATAATAGAACTCTACCATGAGACAGAAAATGGAATTTGTAACTGCTTAAAGTTCTTATTAACCAGGGAGAAGTTAACTCCATTAACCCTCTTTTTCCTTTACCTGTTCTCTCTTTCTTTTTAAAACAATAAATGACTGAGACCACAAACAGGGATTGTAAGAGGAGTGTGTGTGTGTGTGTGTGTGTGTGTGTGTGT